GGAGCAGACCGCTCGGGGCGGGGAGTGTCCTGTCGCGCCGGAGAGGGGGGAGTCTGCTGCTGTGGAGCCCTTGCCTCCTGCGCCAGCTGTTGCACCTCAACAGGATATTCCTGTTGCATGTGGCACAAATTTGGACGGCGGTGATTTTATGAGGAAGACTAGGTATGGTAGGATTGTGAAACCTGTTATTAGATATCAGAGTTGATGTTGCCGAATGAAATAAAACTGATCCCTTGTTCGTTTGGAAATAGGAAGTGTATCCAGTTTACATACGCATCAGTTTTAAGTTTTAAGCTTTCCGTTTCAGTATTGTTTCAATTTTATGTCCTAATTGCTCAATAGTTCTTAGTTAATTTTAGGGCTCAATTTGAGGGGGAAGATGTGTAGAGTTAAGGTGCACAACTTTCTATGGAACCATAATAAAGCGACTAATAGTTGATATGCGATGTATCTGACATCGTTGTCAGTATGCCTTTTATACTCGTCATATGCAGACTGCTGAACCTCGTTCACGCTTGCCAGTATACGTTCTGTGTTACACTGTGTTTCACTGCCAGCGGAGCGCTGTCTGGTTAACTGTACAGCTTTCAAGCAGACTTTTTTCATAACTAGTCAACTCTTTAGATTAAATATAAATTATTGAGTATGCTTTCGATGAGGGATATAATAAATTGGAAATAATTTATTATTTAGCAATGGTTATGGTAATAGAGATAAATATCTCGACATATCTTCAAAGAGATTTGATCTTTCGCAACAAAAATTTTCAAACGAATTTCAGCGTATATAAACGATCTTTCTTGTATTCATACGAATATATTTCTCTGGCTTATTTCTATTAAACATTAAAAAGAATTCCTGCTTGTGATTCTGCGAACTTAAAATCCATGTTCATGCTTGTGATTATGTAAAATTCTGGCTCCAATAAAAAATTTAATTAAGAGAAGCACTTTATTCCAGTTCTTATAGTCTTCTCCATAAATCGTCTTTTGATAAAATACTTTTGTATTTAATATTTATTCCTTTATAAACGAGAGCAGATCTGCTATAGAAACGAGTGTCGGTTGCTCTCGGTGCACAAAATTCAATTTAGAACGAGTGCTAAGAATATATAAAGACGATAGTCGATTCTATTGCGGTAATTGAATATCACAAAAATGCAAGTGTTTAATAATGACGTACTGCTTTCCAAGAGATGCTTTTGTAGCCAGAACATCAGTCCAGGAGGTGAGTACACCAAAATATGAGACTCATTCGTGCACCGACTTGCCTCTGGTGAATATTCTAACTTTTCCAGCGTGCAAATTAACCAACTACAATTTCGATACTTGCACAAGTAAGATTCTTTGATTTAAAAGTTGAACTTCCGATATTTGTGGTTTTGTCTTTTGATTTTTGAGTCTCAGAGTTTCAACATTGCTTATAAACAGAAACGAATCGACATTGAAGCATTTTGTTTAGAATTCTTTGCCTGGTGAAATATTGGATCTAAATTGGTTTTTTATGCAATGCAAATGATGCTTTGTGTGATTGAACTCATATCCTTTAGCTGTACGATATTTTGATTGTTCAGAGCTAACTTATATTAATTGAGGTTTCTCAAAGGTCCTGTAAAGCTTGCACTTCTATTTGTGATTTCAGAAATTTCTGTTCTGATCCATGTACCTGAATCGGAAAATGAAAAATTTTTAATCCTGTGACGGGAGCTTCAAATTTGTCAAATAAATTAGCAAAAGAAGCGGAATATATTATAATTAGTTATGTTTTAAGATCAGTTAATGTCTTGTACTGCGCATTTCAGCAAGCTGAAAATAAATTCAAATGATTCCCTGCGCAACTTATGGCAGTTCATGTAAAAATGTTATTGTAGACACAGAACGCACGAATATTGATCTGGGCGCTGAGTCTCGTGTCACTTTACTTTGAAGCCTACAATACACATGCAGCTTAGCGACTTCAGCGTGATGAATCGCAATAATTAACACATTTTGGTTTTAGTTTAATGGATTCCGGCTGTCTTGCATTCACCTCTTGACTTTAATTGAAGAATTTCGTAATTTCATGCCAAAGAACTTCAAGGACGAAATTCACAGAAGTGCTATGCAATGCACCTCGTTTGAATTCAATTATAGTGGTTCACTGATTACGACAGAATTCAAGGGCTATTTCCGGAAATTCTACAGTTACATTTATGTACAACTTTGCAACCTAATACAAGAAAACAATTTGTTTGTGGTCGACTGAAAATGTTTTTTCGGATCCAGTTTCCCAGGTAAATGGCATTGACATTGCTTCAATAGCCCGTTACGCATCTCGCCTGATTCATCGATCTTGACAATCGCTGCTACCCAGAAACCATGCAAGATTCATTCATTTATACATAATACCTTCAAAATAATAATACCTTTTGTAACAATATCATAATATAATATAATATAATATAATATAAAATAAAATAATATAATATATTAAAATTACCATTAATTTATAATAAATAAAAGCACTAGTAAATTTGGATTATATTGATAAGTTGAAGGACCGCCATTTCAAATGGCGAATAAAATCCCGGATCAGATAACGTTTACCAATAAGCACACCATTGATGGCCGGTCGACCTGAATGTCGCATTTTTAATGAGATTTCAACAACAGATGGCGAAAGTGAATAGTTATACCAAGAAACAGGAAGAAAACACATAAAAACAGGTATCAGATATTCTCATCAAGCATGTACTTTTTCCCATTTCCACACAAGAGTAATTCATATCCCACAGCCTCATTAACGGCTCAAAATAATGGCTTCGATTTAATTGCATCTCTTTTAGTAAATCATTTCTATACTCTTCAGATCTCACATTTATTTTGGGTTTAGCTTCAAGTATCAGCAACCATCTGTCGAAAATCTGTGCGCAATTTTTCAGAACACTACAATTATATCGAGAAATGTATTGACCATTAAAATAAAAAAGTAGTGCTATAATTCACTTAAAGTTTACTGAGGGAGAGCAAATCTCTCAGAGCAAATGATAGCGCAGATCTATCACTAAACATCTATTAGTAATGCCATTAGGGAAATACCTTTTTGTTAATAATTTAGCTGGATAAAAGAGGTGCTATCAAACCATTATATTTTTTACAGATTATATGAGTTTAGATTTACAGTATATTTTAAGCTGCATATATCGCCGCACAGGGACTTGCCAAGCCCTACAATGTTGCGCGTGGCTGCCGTGACATTGTCGCTGCTGGCGACGCTGACATCAGCAGAAATCTACGGCGGGTTTCTCTCTTCCTGCCCGGCCGGCGCTGGTGTCACCGACCCATACGTGATGACCCAACAATTCTGGAAAGACTATGTGCGTGGAAACATTTTCCATGTTGTAACATTTTTACAGAGAAATGTGATGCAAAGACTCGGGGGATAATTTTTTGTGTAGAAAAATCAGAGCCTATATTTTCGGTCAACGTAAATTTGGATAGAACTGGCTAATAAGTGTGCTCATGTTTCTCAGCGAGCCAAAAATCGATCAGGTTTAATTAGTTCGACTTAGTTGTGTTTACCTCTGCAGGCGATATTTTACTCATTGAATGAAGAATAACATACCTTATAATGATGAATGACAATTATACACACCTACGAAAATTGTAATAATTAAGATATTAGGCAAAATAAAGAATTATAAATTACTATCACATTGCAGGTCCCCACGTTAATGAAACTGGTCGCCTACGACGGTACCTCTGAAGACGATAAAATGAGGTGTCAGAAATTTGGCCTATTCTTGATGAACTATAGGAACATCACTATAGGGCTCACGGGTCAAAATGCAACGTTAGTGTTGTCTACGAAACGAATTGACTAAGCGGCTCGTTATCATTAATACCTTGTGCGTTCGTGGATATAAAATCTACATGTCCATTGGACAATTTATATTTTTCGTTCAAGATGTAAATTTTCCTATAGGGCTTGTGATATTCAACAGGTGACCGACGTTGAACAAATAAGGTAAGACGAGCAATTGATGAAAATTATGACACTCGAGCCACTCGTGTATTCAATGGAGTATAGCTCCAGCAAATTCGCTTATAAGCGAATTCCTCTGAATCTTGTGCTCGAGACTGATTCAGGAACTAAAAAATAGGGCAAGTTCCCAATTTATCAATCTATCATATGATGATTGATATCAGATTGATAAATTTATCAATTTATCGGATGATGAGACTAGGATGACATAAATAAACATTTCATTGTATACGTGCAGGGGAGGCGCATTCACGTATGGTGGAAAAGGCGTGTCTTCTTCAATCGACGGCTTCTTTCAGCTGGGGCCATCTCCTCCATCCGAATCCTTCCCGTCTTTGTGTTAGTGACAGTTCGGCTAATTGTAGTTTATGCTTCTTTCTTATCGCTACGTCAAACTAAAATACAAATTTTAATTTCGAAGGACCTGATGCATTCATTTTTTATAGTTTCTTCATAACTGTGTTTAGCCATCATCACTTATGCATCAGCCATCTGTTGTAATGTATTAAAAAAATCACTAATATCAAATTTTCCTAAATCGTGCCATAGTTTATGAACTTTCTTAACTTCTTATTCTCATTGGATCGTTGGTTTCTGTTCGCCAGTCTTGGGGTCACCGTCGACGGGCTCAACACGTGTCTACCTCGCGTACGTCTCGCCTACGGAGATCGTCATCAGGACCTGCCGTGGAGTGTTTTTAAACACACTCCGTGAGTCTGTCTTTAAACATGCATTTCGCATAGGACATACAATGGCGATTTTATTATTGACATTTTACAACATTTATTCTGAGGCTATTTGCAGTATATGCATCAATTAGGAACAGTGCCGACTAAATTTGACCTCGTCTAATCAATGTACTGTGGAATGTCCGTACGTCGTTGATAACTAAGTACTACAATTTGAATTATCATTGGCATGAGCGTGCACCGTCATCAGCCTGATAAAAATTCCTAGCAAGATAACACATTTTTTGTTTACAGATTCGCTGTACGTGTTCAGCAATCAGATGGATGACCTTGGAACTTTGGACTCAACATGCTTGCTGAACACCGTGAAGTCTCTGCCCAACAACGGCGGCTTCAAACTCAAGCCAGCCAATCAGACCGCCTGCAAGTGAACTGCCGTTACCGTCACCGCAGCCAAAACTGGGCTGTAGATACGGTGCTTTTTCGTTGAACTATCAACAACAATTGGCGAAAAGAAATTGTTTTATTTAACCGGAGCTAAAAAGTTTAAAACAGGTAACATAATCAAATATCCTCCTACTATCAAACATTTGTAATTCAATGAATCATTGTGGGTTATACACCTTACAATTGATATCTACTTCTTATTGAATTTTACCGCGCGACATAACATAAGTTAACTAAATTGGAGAAGTGAATGGTTGATATAATTTGAATGAGGCCGCTCTCAAATTTTCGAACGGACCTATGTAAGGCAGTCGCCTGATTGGAGAATAAACGTTAGACGTGCCTATAGGGGTTTCAATCATCCTATAATTTTGTAATTCAGCCTACGGCGCAGTCCCCATCAAATAGCAGATTTGATCATTTAAAAGTATCGGTCGAGTCGCAATAAATAATTATTGTATCGTCTTCGAACTGTTAACGTGTTGATTTTCTATCAGCTTTCATTCGCACAGTATGTCGAAGTAGCCTACCAGCTCATACTATCAGTATAGGTTGAAGAAAGCTACCAGTTCATTCTATCAGTATGTCGAAGAAAGTTTTACAATTAGAACGCTATGAGAAACTACTATATGAAGAAGCTGTTCAGCAAGAAGCTCAAGTTTTACATGACACGACTATTGCAACAAGACAATCTATACGAAGGAGTGACCGATGGCGTCTTGGAAGCACAGTAGAATGAAGGTATAAAGTCAAACTTCTTTCGAAATTGATGCGGGATAGGCTAATTTTCACTGAAAATGAGAACGAGATGCATCAGTTAATAAAATAATCTTCAAAATTTTAACTTTCTTAGTGAATCAAGAGATGGACTCTTTTGCGAGCAGTCGTCTCGGAGACGGTTATTCAGATAAACATTACTTATAGGTGGAATTATCACCATCCTTTGAACTTATTCAATTTGGTAAAAAATCTAATTGTTGCAAAGATATACGAGTTATAATTATACACGAGTATAGTGAGGATTATAGCAATTCACTTAAGTATGCGCATTCAACTTTTTATCACTCCATTACGTTATTCCTGGAGCCATGTAGAACTGTCTAATGCGAACGGGAACAAGATAATAAATGGACTTGAAACATTAATCAGAAATGAAATAATAAATTAAGTACTTTATAATTCAAATTAAAGCCGTGCACAAGTTTCATTCGGAGCGTCACAATAAGGGCACCACACCAGCGGGCATAGTATAGGTGAAGAAGAGGACGCTGCCCCCACAGCGCCTTGGCGAAATCTCAAGTTACAAAACGTTTTTCATTGAATCGGACAGAAATATAGGGGAAAAATTAAGACTATCTGATTATTTTTTCATTTTAATTCATGAAGATTATCTGATTATGATTAAATGAAAATTATCTGGCAACAATCATTTACAGGTAATAATTAAAGTTTATCAAGCATAAAATTACCAAACTGTTAATTTTTAATCTTATTTGAAGATAATGAGGACCTTAGCACTATAAGAAACGATTAAAATCTTGAAATAGGGATAAATCTACATAATGCAAAATTCTCTCTACATAATGTAACATTCTCTCTACATAATACAAAATTCTCTCTACATAATGCAAAATTCCCTCTACATGATACAAAATTCTCTCTACATAATGCAGAATTCCCTCTATACATAATACAAAATTCCCTCTACATAATGCAAAATTCTCTTTACATAACACAAAATTCTCTCTGCATAATGTATTGCGCTTTGATTGAGATAAGTCATTTCATCTTGTCAAGTGTAATATCCAGTAAGAAGTATTCGTAAATATAATATGTAATTTATTGCGGGAACAATTTAACCTTGCTCGAAACGCGTCCTTTGAGACATCTTTTGTGATGACAAAACTGCACTAAATTTTTCTCATGGACATGGACGACTCAATAACAGATTATCTGGGAGAAGTGAAGCTATTCTTGAGGATGTTCGCATCTCTCTATACCGAAATAAATCGACTTATTAATTAGGTAAATTTTTGAATTCATAAATCACAGAAATTGACAAGTTTTAAGGAACCAGCTTTCAACCAGCCTACTTTCGTAGTTAGTCAACCCTTTAGATTAAATATAAATAAAAGAGTATGTTTTAGATAACGGATATAATAAATCAAAAATAATTTTCTATTAACCAATGGTTGTCCAGATAGCGCTAAATATCTCGACATATGTTCAAAGAGATTTGATCTTTCGCAACAAAAATATTTAAACAAATTTTAACATGTAGACTATATAGACAATCTTTCTTGTATTCATACGAATATATTTCTCTGGCTTATTTCTATTTAACATTGAAAATAATTTTTGCTTGTGCTTCTGTGAACCTAAAATCCATGTTCATGCTTGTGGTTATGTCAAATTCGTGAATAAAGAGTTTGTAATTCTGACTATTTTATAATACAATATTGAAAATAGCTGTTGTGAAGTGTGGGAAGGCTATGGAAATTAGGGTTGAAACTGGGCAAAGCTTGCATAAGACGATATTGTTCTCGAGACCGTGAGACCAAGGTTTTGTTTATAGTTTAGAATGGCTAGGGCATCAAACGGGTGACCCTTGCGGATTTCGAAACTGTTGCGGCGTCACTTCGAGGGTAGGCTTAAATGTGGGCGACACAAGCGTCTATAAAAGACCTTAAAATTGGCGCCAAAGGGTGTTCTACGGTGGTGACTGTCACGTCAGTACGGTCTGTAGCTATCTCCGCGGTAGGTTCTAGTACTGGGGCGACCGTCACTTCAGTACGGTCGGCAGCTATCTCCGCAACGGCTTCGGCCGTTGGGCGGCGGGCCGCAAAATAATGGCCGCGCGAAATGTCGAGTCATTCATAACACCACGATTCCGATATAACAACGTCAAAAATTATTAAGCATCGGCCACGACTTCGCCATATATGTACGGTCACACACACATGATCACACTCTTCAGAGACCCTTGTAATACCTATCCTTGAATACTGCTGCCAGCTGTGGACTCCGTTCACACTAGGCGCAATACGGCAACTGGAAGGGGCCCAACGAATCTTCACTTCCAGGATCAGTGGGATGGAGGAATTTATCTACTGGGAGAGGTTACAACGACTGGGTCTGTACTCACTACAGAGAAGACGGGAGAGGTATATCATTCTGTACACATGGAAAATGATAACCGGAATGGCACCAAACTTCGAAAGCGAGACCTTCAGGATTGAGACACGCCATAACGGAAGGAAGGGGAGACTGTGCAGGATTCCCCCACTACGTAACAGATCGGCGGTCAGATTTCAATCCCTGCGGGAAGGATCCCTTTCCGTGGCCGGGCCGAGGTTGTTATCCCTATCAAAGTTTTGATACCTGTGCTCAGTGACACTATATTCGGCTTAGGGGCGAATCACGCGCTTAGAGGCCACCTAACTGCATTCAGCGGGTATTCACGAGCCGATTGCGGGAGTCGATTGCTCGATAGGCCGAATATACGAAGTCAGACCGAAAAAAAGCAGCTGGCCAGGCTTCTGTGGACAGAAGCTGTTATTTGAGCGAACCATGACCATCTCCCGCTCATCATATAGGGCGTATGTACATGTATGTACATGCGTACGTTTGTCAAGGCATATCATGGAACGAAATGAGAATTGATTTTACTAATTTTTTAAGCTTACGTGTTGTAAGATAATAATTTTATTATTTATAGGATAAAAATATCTTGATTTATATATTGGCTATCTTTAAAAACTTGAAGGCATGCTTGAAGGCATGGAAATATGATTAAGAGGTGCAAGAGCAGAAAAATACTTGCTAAGTACGTGGCAGTAAAAAAGTAATTCGTGAAGCTCCAAGAGATAAATTTCTAATTCTTGTCATAACACACATAACTAATACGTAAGCTGTTAATTGGCAGAAAAAGCAACAGATGAACTTTCGGTTATGCATTCAGGGCCTACAAGAATTTTATTAAATGTTGAGGTCGCTATGAGTTGGGATGAAACTGCTTGATATTGTGATGACAGTGCGTAATTGCCTGATAACGGGCATTAAACAATGTACCTTCGGTTATTCAGACAAGGTCTACAAAATTTTAATATTTTCAGGTGAGGTTCACAATTGCATCATATTGTGGTGCGGTTCAAATAATTCCTTCAGTGAAATATGATCGTTTTATTCAATGGCGGTTACTGGGCGTGAGTGTTATACATAGCGTACATAACTCTGCTCTGTGAACCTAACTACTTTTTGAACGAATTAAAAAAAGTTTAGTCATTAGGTCAAACAACCTCGATGACAAAACCTGGCCAAAGCTTTACGGTTCTTGTTCCTCATTACTTTATCATGTTCGCAGGACAAAATTTGTGGCTAGCCTCTTTAAATGTTTAAATATTATTCGTGTTTAAAGGCAGGTCCACACGCTCAGTTTTCATAACGATTGGTCTGCGCAGTTTCAAGTCGGAATGAAATCGTTGCAATTTTTAGAGCGTCCACACGGTGCCGACTTATCCGAGTAGTTTGCTCAGTTTTGCGCGATATCGCCATGGAGACGTCTCGGATAGGGGCGCTAATACCTTCATCGGTGCTGCGCCGTATCTTAACCAAGTAACGTCTCGGATAAATTTACGGCCGGACTTGCGGCCGGTCTCCCCAAATTCGGTGAGCATGGAATACCTCCCAAAGTAATGAACGTAGCTCGATAAAACTTGGTACACGTATTCATTAGGACTCACCGGTGATGTTTAGCTCGTGAACATTTTTAGAATTTCACCTTCATTCGTGAGTTATATATATGACGATACGTGAGAACTACTGTACAGATTTGAACGAAACTTTGAATATAGAAACCTAACCTCCCAACGGCGATGTTTAGCTCGTGACAATTTTTTAGATAAAGCCGTATAACTCGCAAATGAAGGCAAAATTGCAAACATCACCTTTAGGTCCTAATGAATACGTGTACCAAGTTTTATCGAGCTACGTTCAATACTTTGGGAGATATTTCATGCTCGCCGAATTTGGGGAGACCGGCCGCGAGTCCGGCCGTAAATTTGTCCGAGACGTGCCATGGAGAAGGCAGATAAATTTTGGCATTGTGCCTTGTTAAAAAAGAGATTGGATCATTTAGGGAATGCGAGGAATCAAAATACAAGAGAGATGGCTTGTAGATGTCTTCTTCTCCAGGTCCAGATGGAATCGATTTTTTATTTATTTCCAATTATTTACGGTAAATGCTCCTCAACTTATTTTGCAGCTCTTTCTCTGTTTGCGCTTACATCGATTTCTTTTAATTTTTCTACTAAGCCCTCGTATGTCTCCACTTTCTTTGTTCCTGTTACTATAGTCCTTGAATTTTACTCGCCAAATGCGAGAAAAACTTTCGTATAGAAGAGCAATAAATTCCCGAGAACATTACCGAAAGTCAGCCATTGTCGCCAGACTCATTGAAACTGAGCACAAATTGAATCGGAAAACTGCGCTTCCGTCTACAGATCTACACTCTACACGTTCCGACTTATCTGCGCAGTTCATCGAAATCTATGCTCTGTAGCTCAGATTTCGATGCAACTGCGCGGTTTTCCCGGCGGCTTCAAAACTGCGCAGTTTTCCCGTCCACACGCAACGTTTTAACTGCAACGATTAGAACTGCGCAGACAAATCGTGTGTAAAACTGAGCGTGTGGACCGGCCTTAACGTGATGCAGCTTGAGGCAGTAAGTTTATTACAAGACGTTACATGTTCGTTTGCACAGGACGATACACGTTCGTTTGCCTCGCGGGCGGCAGCGGCGATCGGCTTAGTTCGCTCGTTGTACTAGTGATGATCGCACGCCTAACGACGCACGTTCTCATTTCGATCCTGTAAATCGTAGTGGGAGTGATGTGTAATCAAGTAATGTTTAAATAGTGTAATCGTAGTGTAAAGTTATGTTGTGAAGTATTAGACTTGAAAATTATAGATTTTAAAAGCTGAACATTATTAGAAACTAGAAATCTATTCGTTTTTATGTACAACGGTTCTTCCGTTTTTTCCTACCTTCCCCCATAAAGGGGTGAAGAGAGGGGGCATTTTTTGACGCATTTTTTCAGATTCGGCCGTGTCTGTCCCGAACGTATCACGTACCAAATACGCGTGCCCCACGATCGCCCCAGGCTCGACAGGTATTTCACAAGAATCTCCTCAGCGCTTATTTCGCTCCGGCAACCGGAACCTAAAGCGGACATAGAGCCGCTGATTTATACCGTTGGGCGAGCTTGAGGCACCCTTGAGCCAGCGGCTGACAGGAATCAAAACTTTGATAGGGTAGCGTCCTACCAAGGGATCTAAGAGAAGGGGAGTTCACCCTGGAGACTTTCAAGAGACGACTGGACGTGTTCCTGGGCACAATCCCTGATCGACCGCCCCTGCACCACTACCGACGGCGAGAAGCAAGCAACAGCATAGTGCATCAGCTGGCCCAAATGAAGGCGGATGAGCGATAATCAGAGGCGTCGATCCATCGTGGCCTGAGACTGCTACGTCCCGAACAAATACTAAGGAAACTAAGGTCAACAGCATTGCTACGGCTGTGACTCAGCCGCGAGACAACGCGAGTGTAATGAAGGCTGTCCTTCATCGGGGTTCGTTTCTTGCACTCTGATACTCCAAAAATTTAGGAACGCAGTCCTGTTGTACACAGGACTGCTGGGTAACGACTGGTCTAAGGTCCGGTCTATCACTCTTGTCGAGCGTTTCCAACCGGTGCCTTCTAGAATACAATTTGCAACCTTTCAGCGAGAAGCCAAGAGTTGTCCAACGATTATACCATCGGTAATCATGGAGATGCAAGAACAGACCACTGTTTGGCAATTCCCATCGGTACGGTCACATTCACCATTAGCAGCAGTACGGCAGCGAGTTTGAAGAACATAATCGACTGTGAAAACGAACACCACTATTCCTTAGTACGGTCATCATAAATTCTAGGGTTAGACCGGCCATGAGACATCACTATAACGCGGGAAATACGGCTATGAAGAAAGAGCAACTGTGAAAAGTGACGCGCGGCTACAGCTGCGGTACGGCCACTGAGAATACGGCTGCAAACGCGCGCGTGAGGTACGGTCGTTGCGTGAGTCGTACCATTCTACGGGAACATTCTACGGCTCGAAGTTTTCTGGTAAAAGTAGAAGATTTTAGTTGTGTTAACTGATTTAACTTTTTTTAATATACTAGAGATTTTTGTCAACGTAAGTTGTGAACTTGAATTTCACAATTTAATATGAAATGTGTCAGTGTTTCATTGCAACCCTATCTCTGTACTATTTTTGCCGTAACCTATTCATAAGAGAACTGACATACGCGCCTTGTAAGCCACTTCGGCACCAACCTGACAGAATTAAAGCAATTGACGATCGAGCGATAAAATCCATAATGTACGGTCAACATCGATAAAGTAAAATTCCATAAAAACCTTAAGGAAAAAATTTCATTTCCTATTCATTCCCACTGTAATGAAAAAATTTAAGAGAAGAACTTTATTCCAATTCTTATAGGCATCTCAGTTCTTCATCTTTTGATAAAGCATATTTGTATTTAATATCAATACGTTTGTAAACGAGAGCAGATCTGCTATAGAAGCGAGTATCGGTTGCTCTCGGTGCACAAAATTCAATTTAGAACGAGTGCTATGAATATATAAAGACGATAGTCGATTCTATTGTGGTAATTAATTCCCAAAAACGATGCAAGTGTTTAATAATGACGTACTGCTTTCCAAGAGATGCTTTTGTAGCCAGAACATCAGTCCAGGAGGTGAGTACACCAAAAGATGAGACTCATTCGTGCACTGACTTGCCTCTGGTGAACATTGTAACATTTAAAGAGTGCAAACTAACCAACTTCAATTTCGATACTTGTACAAGTAAGATTCTTTGATTTCAGAGTTGAACTTCCGATATTTGTGGTTTTGTCTTTTGATTTTTAAGTTCTAGAGTTTCAACATTGCTTATAAACAGAAACGAATCGATATTGAAGTATTTAGTTAAGAATCCCCCGGCTGGTGAAATATTTTATCTAGCTTTGTAATTTAAGTAATGAAAATTTGGTTTTGCGCGTTTGAACTCATCTTTTGGCTGTACGCTATTTTAATGTTTCAGCGTATACTTGTAATCATTGAGGTTTCTTAAAAGTCCTGTAAAGTTCGCTCTTCTATTTGTAATTTCTGAATTTTCTATTCTAATCAAAGAAGCTAAATCCGAAAATGAACAAATTGTTAATCCTATATGACAGGAGCTTCGAATCTGTCAAAGAATTAGCAAAAGCAGAAGGGAAATATATTAAAATTAGTTATGTTTTAAGATCAGTTAATGCCTTGTACTGCGCATTTCAGCAAGCTGTAAATAAATTCAAATGATTTCCCGGGCAACTTATGGCAGTTCATGTACGACGGTTTTTGTAGACACAGAACGCACGAATATTGATCTGGGCGCTGAGTCTCGTTTCACTTTACTTTGAAGCTTCTAATGCACAGCTTGGCAACTTCAGCGTGATGAATCGCAATAATTAACACATTTTGGTATTAGTTCAATGGTTTCCAGCTGTCTTGCATTTACTTCTTGACTTTCATTGAAAGATTTCCTTCGTTCATGCCAAAGTAATTCAAGACGAAATTCACAGAAGTGCTATGCAATGCACCTCGTTTGAATTCAGTCATCGCGGCAACGATTAACGTGGAATTCGAGGGCTATTTCCGGAAATTCTATTGTCACATTTATACCCAATTTTTTATATTACATTTTTGAGTCAATTTAGGAAAGTCTCTTTCTGGTAAGATGGAGTTATACTATAGTAGTAATAAAACAGCTGTTCTAAAGGAAGCAAAAAAATCGATGTCTTATTTTCAAACTTGCAATGCAACAAAGAAGTTCAAAGTTAATATAGTACAGGAATAAATGCTTAATTTGAAACGATTAGCCCTCCTAAGCTTCATGCTTGATCACGGAATTTTTATATAGCAAAGGAACAACATCGCGATGAGATCAAAGCTGATATAGTTTTTTTACCTTTAATAAAAAGCAATTTTAATTGTTGCCCGTACAATTGAATACAATAATGAAATTCTAACAACAAATTTCGAAAATAAAAATAGTTATACCAAGAAACAAAATAACAACATAAAAACAAGTGTATATTTTTCTTATCAAAACCTGTACTTTTTCGCATTTCCACACAAGAGCAACTCATATTCCACAGCCTCATGAGCGACCCAAAAGCATGTCTTCAATTTAATTGCATTTGTCTTTAGTAAATCATTTATCAGATCCCCATATATTTTGGATTTTATTTTTAGGTATCAACAAACATCTGTCGAAAATCTGTAGGCAATTTTTCATAACACTTCAATTATATCGAGAAATATGATAACAGTACAAATAAAAAAGTACTGCAATAATTCAATTAAATTTTACTGAGGGAGAGCAAGTCTCACAGAGCAATTGATAGCGCAGATCTATCACTCAACATATATTAGTTATGCCATCAGGGAAATACCTTTTTGTTAATATTTTAGCTGGATAAAAACAGGTGCTATCAAACCATAATATTTTTTACAGACTGTCAGAGTTTATTTCTACAGTATATTTTAAGCTGCATATATCACCGCGCAGGGACTTGCCAAGCCCTACAATGTTGCGCGTGGCTGCCGTGACATTGTCGCTGCTGGCGACGCTGATATCAGCAGAAATCTACGGCGGGTTTCTCTCTTCCTGCCCGGCCGGTGCTGGTATCACCGACCCATACGTGATGACCCAACAATTCTGGAACTACTATGTGCGTGGAAATATATTATATGTCACTACAGTTTTACCGAGAATTTGGAACTCAAAGACTCGGGGGATAGCTTTTGTTGTAGAAAATCAGAGCCTATACTTTCGGTCAACAGGTACTGTAAATTTGGAGAGAACTGGCTAATAACTGTGCTCATGTTCTCATTGAGCTAAAAATTGTTCAAGTATACCAAGTTCAACTCAGTTGTGTTTATCTCTGCAGACGATATCATATTTATTGAATGATGAATGATATACCTTATAATGATGAATTACACCTATACACACCTAAGGAAGTGGTAATAATTAAGATAATAGATATAGGAAAGAATTATATTTCATACCCACATTTCAGGGAGCGAATCCCGTAATTGGGATGAAGCTTATCGCCTACGACGGTACCTTAGAAGACGACAAACTGAGCTGTGTGAAATTGAACCTCACGTTCGGCTTTAGGAACATCACTCTAGGCCTCGAGGGAGTAAGAACTGGATCGTGAGTGTCTTCTACAATAAACAATGAATGTCCTAAAATATGTCAATTAAATGGGCACGATAGTCAGAAACGACACTAGGAACATTTATCGCCTGACTTTCAAATAAAGTTATGACGAAGTAAAATCAAATACTAATTTAAAGTTTTTCTTATCACAGAAATTCTCATGCTACATCATTCAACTTTAAATTTGTCGAAATTACTAAACGAATAAACTGAGATGCTCGTTAATTGTCAATAATACACTGTGCGTTCGCGGCTATAAAATGTACATGTTCATAGGGAAAATTATATTTTTCGTTCAAGATATATATTTTCCTAAAGGATTATGATACTCAACAGGTGACCGACGTCGAACCAATAAGATAAGACGAATAACTAATGAAAATTCTGCCACTCCAGCAACTCGTGTATTCAATGGAGTAAAAAAATTCAGTTGAATCATGTGCTCGAAACTGATTCAGGAACTAAAAAATATAACTCAGTGCTCACTGCAGTGAGTGACAGAGAGCGCATTTTCTCGTCGACGAAAACTTGAGGGCACGGACGGACAGACAGACATATAGACAGACGGACATGGCGAGCACTATAGTGCATTTTTCCAAAAATGAGAAAATGCGCTAAAAATATGGCAAGTTCTTAATTTATGAGATGATGAGTCTAAGACGACATGAAGAAACATTCGATTTTATGCGAGCAGAGGGACGCCTCCCCCTTATGAGGGAAAAGGCGCGTCTTCTTCTATGGACGGCTTCTTTCAGCTGGGGCCATCTCCTCCACTCGCACCCTTCCCGTCTTTGGGTTAGTGACGGTTCAGCTAATTGTGGTTTATGCTTCCTTCTTATCGTTACGTCAAACTAAATACAAATTTTAATTTCAAAGGATCTGATGCATTCATTTTTTATCGTTTCTTCAAAACTGTGTTAGCCATCATCACTTATGCATCACTGCATTAGCCATCTGTTTTAATGTATTAAAAAATCCCTAATATAAAATTTTCCCAAATCGTGCCATAGTTTATGAATTTTCTTAACTTCTAATTCCCATTGGATCGTTGATTTCTGTTCGGCAGTCTTGGGGTCACCGTCGACGGGCAAAACAAGCGTCTACCTCGCGTACGTCTCAGCTACGGAGATCGTCATCAGGACCTGCCGTGGAGTGTTTTTGAACACACTCCGTGAGTCTGTCTGGAAACATGCATTTCGCACAGGACAAACACTGGCGATTTTACTATTGACATTCGACCAACATTTAGTTTGAGGCTATTAACAGTATATGCATCAATTAGGAAGAGTTACGACTAAATTCGACCTTGTCTAATCAATGTTCTGTGAAATTATGTACGACAGTCGTTGGTGACTAAGTACTACAATTTGAATTGTTATCGGCATGAGCGCCCACCGTTATCAGCCTGGTGAGAATTCCTAGCATGAGAACACATTTTTTGTTTACAGATACGCTGTACATGTTCAGCAGTCAGATGGATGACCTTGCAGCGTTGGACTCAACGTGCTTGCTGAACACCGTGAAGTCTCTGCCCAACAACGGCGGCTTCAAACTCAAGTCAACCAATTGGACCAACTGCGTGTAGTGAGCTGCCAGTTACCGTTACCACAGCCAAAACTGGGCTGGAGATACGGTGCTTTTTCGTTGAACTGTCAACAATAAGTGGCAAAAAGAAATTGTTTTGTTTAACCTGTGTTAAAAAAATTTTAAAAAAGGTATCATAATCAAATATCATCCTACCATTAAACAATTGTAATTCAATAAATCATTGCGGATTATATTGCTTGCAATGGATATCTACTTCCTATTGAATTTTACCGCGCGACAAAAGTTAACTAAATCAGAGAAGTGAGTTGTTGATATAATTTGAATGATAGACCGCTCCCAAATTTTCGAACGAACCGATGTAAGGCAGTTGGAGAATAAAAGTAAGACGTGCCTAGGGGTATCAATTATCCTGCAATTTTATAATCCAGCCTACGGCGCAGTCCACATTAAATAGCAGATTTTATGATTTCAAAGTTTCGGTCGAGTCTCAATAAATAGTTATTGTAACGGCTTCGAACAGTTTATGTATTGGTTTTCTATCAGCTTTCGTTCTTACAGTAAGTCGAAGCAGACTACCAGCTCATACTATCCCGATCTTTCCATAACTGACGATTGTTTGAGATAGCTTGGACTTATTGCCTGGTTCTTAATGCAAAATTTGAATGCTAGATGGCGTGAACAAAGAACCTGAAACATAACATAACATAGTGATCTCGGCGCTGAATCACAGGTCTGATGTGGCCTGTCGCCGATTTTTTTCCTTATGGCCTGTCGCCGATTCTTTCGTGCCTTGTTCACAGAAGATCTAAAATCGTGTCATTTGACCGGTTCTTTTCATTACTGACGATAGTTTGAAATAGCTATTCGACTTCCACCGGGTTCGATATGGTGCTATAGGCATTTCAAATCTGAACATATATTTTTCCAATTTCCATAGCTCTATCTAGTCTGTTCTTGAACGCGTTCATACTTGGAGCGCCAATGATGTCATCGGGGAGGCTGTTCCACATGTCGGTGATTCGAAGCGAGAAGAAATGTTGGCGCGTGGAGAAATTGCAACGCAGTTTTTTTGTTTATAGCCGTAGCCCCTGGTGTTGGTTCTTGTTTCAAATTCTAGTAATCCTTCGGTGACCTTGTACAAAACATGAGTGTACTTGTATACTTCAATGAGATCCCCACGCAGAGGTCGATAACTGAGGCTTGGAAGCTTCATAATCTTTAATCTTTCTTCATAGGACTTGCCCTTCAAGCCTGGAATTATCCTTGTTGCACGTCTTTGAACATTCTCTTGTAAATTTTTGTCCTTTTCAAATCTCGGTGACCAGACAACGTTTCCAAACTCCAGATTCGGGCGCACGACAGCAACAAACAACTGTTTCATCACTTCTGCATCTAGGAACTCGTATGAGCGCCTGATTAGTCCAAGAAGTTTGTTGGATGTGTTAGCTTGCGTTTCAACATGCTTAGAAAATTCCAGGTCCTTGTCGACATAAACTCCGGGATCTTTTTCCACACTAGACTTTTTAATCATTACTCTCTCGTTGCAACCAGGTCTTCCGAAATTTTCTATCCGCAATAACTATCCACAACATAGTCGAACTTATGAGTCGATATATTTATATATAACTTATGCGTGCAGTGGCGTGCCACAAGGAAGTGTTCTCGGGCCTATTCTATTCGTTGCGTTTATAAACGATCTGCCAGGAGCTGTGTCTAGCGTTTGCTCGATGTATGCTGACGACACAAAAATTTATAATACGGTGAAGAATACGTCGCAAAAAGTACAGTTGCAAGGTGATCTTGACAGGCTGGTTGACTGGGCTGATAAGTGGCAGCTGCGTTTTAACGCTGACAAATGTAAAGTTATCCACCTTGGCAAGAATAATGAACAGCAAAATTTGGATCCCTTGTGAATCAAGTCACGAAAAGTTCAAGAATCGGCAACAGGCCATTGGCCAATTTCTTCAACGCCGACACTTCTATTCTATTCTATGAGATAGTATACTATTAATAAGATATAGTCGCAACTAAAACAAGTAGACATAGGAGTATACTGAGCTAACAATAATAAAATATGAAATACTTATAGCAGTGATTAAAACCCAAAAAGAAGTGAGGCGAACAGACCATTAATCGGTGATGTGCTAAGCTGAGTAAGCTCTACTATATAGCGGGTTGCAGCTTATGGACCGTAGCCTCCACTCCGTAAAATGTTGCCACAATAATTTACCTGACTCTACCGACCGTGGGTGCCAAAATATTTTATTGTGGATAAGTGTCAATTAGGTTGAAGAAAGCTCACAGTTCATTCTATCAGTAGGTTGAAGAAGTTCATAGTTCATTCTATCAGTATGTCAAAGAAAGCTCCTAGTTCATTTTATCGGTATGTCGGAGAAAGATCACAGTTCATTCTATCAGTATGTCGAAGAAAGTTCCACGTTTCAGAGCGCTATGAGAAACTACTATATGGAGAACCTGTGAAGTAAGAAGCTTACGTTTTAAATGACATGTCTATTTCAAAAAGACTGAATCTATACGAAGAAGGGACCAATGGCGTCTAAGATGTAAAATAGAATGAAGGTATAAAGTCAAAATGCATGTGAAATTGATGCGGGATCGGCTAATTTTAAATGAATAATATACGTTTAAAAATTACTTTTTAAAGACAACACTTCCAAAGAATCCAGTATCTCCAATCTTACAGATGTACAATGAATTTCTCATTTAATTTTCGAATATTAAAAAAATTAATTTTTCAATTTTTTTAATATATAAATTTTTTTAATATATAATTTTTTTCAAAATTATTTATTTTATTAATTGATTCATGCACTGCCTCTGATTTCACACAAGTGTGCAAAATTTCAGATCAATTAGACAGGTAAAAGTGTGTCAAATATCAGTTATAAGATTTGTAGCTGACAAAATTATTTTTTCAATTTTTTTAATATTGAAAAAAAAAATTTTTTTACTTTCCAAAATAATTTATTTTGACATTTGATTCATGCATTGTCTCCAACTTTCCACAAGTGTGCAAAATTTCAGATCGATAGGATAGGTAGAAGTGTATTAAATTTCGATTACAAGATTTGTAGCAGACAGACAGACAGACAGACAGACAAGAAGTGAAGTTAAAGAGAAGTGTTGTAAAAAATGAGCACAAGCTGCATCAGTAGATGAAATAATCTTCAAAATTTTCCCTTTCTTCGTGAATCAAGAGATGGACTCTGTTGCGAGCAGTCGTCTCGGAGACGGTTATTCAGATAAGCATTACATTATAGGTAGAATTATCACAATCCTTTGAACTCATTCAATTCCTTCAAAAATCTGATTGTTGCAAACAATTATGAGTTATATTTATGCATATGTATAGTGAATATTATAGCAATTCACTGAAGTATTCGAATTCAACTTTTTATACAATCCATTACGTTATTCCTGAAGCCATGTAGAACTGTTTAATGCGAGCAGGAACAAAATAATAAATGGATCCAAAACATTGATCAGAAATAAAATAATAAATTAAGTACTTTATGGTTCGAATGAAAGCCGTGCACAAGTTTCATTCGGAGCGTTACAATAAGGGCACCTCACCAGTGGTCTCAGTATAGGTGAAGAAGAGGACGCTTCCCCCACAGCACCTTGGCGAAATCTCAAGTTACTAATGGTTAGGTTTTTTTCTTTGAATCTGATAGAAACCAAGAGGAAATTGAAGATTATCTGATAGATTTGAAAAAAATTGAATACCCGTATAGAGGCAGCAATATTTTACAGCTAATAATTAAAGTTTATTAACTATAAAATTACCAAACTGTTTTTTTTTGCAAGTTCATTTAATGAGAATGAGGACTACAGTATTATATAAAATGATTAATAATCTCGAAATAGGGTTAAATTCCCACTACGTAATGCAAATTTCCTTGTACATAATGCTAAATTTTCTCCACATACTGCAAAATTCCCAGTCTACAATGAAAAATTCTCCCCACATGATACAAAATTCCCTGTACATATGTAATGCTAAATGCCCTCTACATAATGCAAAATTCTCTGCACATAATGCAAAATTCCCTCTAAATTGCAATTAGGTTGAGATAAGTCATTTCATCTTGTCAAGTGTTATAAACTAGTAAGAAATATTCGAAAATATAATGTAATTTATGTAGAGAACAATTCAAACTTCGTTCGGAGCGCGTCATTTGAGACATCTTTTGCGTTGACAAGACTGCAATATATATATAAGAAACTGAAATTCAACAGGTACATATTTCCCCCGTGATTTTTAGGTGTTTCTTAAATACAAATATTGTCTATGCACTCGCTTGCAATCACAGTTAACAGTTCACTTTTTTGTTCAAAACGGAATCCGCACGCGCGAGTTCGGGTAAAAACATTTTAAAACTTTTTGAGCACTTTCACTTTGATGTATGCGGTTACTTATTACATTACTTACAGGCCAGGATCTATGGATATGACTTATTTTAAAAGCATATCTCTATTTAACATTCAAAATAATTTCTGCGTATGATGATTATGTGAACCTAAAATCCGTATTCATGCTTGTGATTTTATAAAAATTCTCACTCTAATGAAACCATTTAAAAGAAAGACCTTATTCCAGTTCTTATAGTCCTCTCAGCTAATCGTCTTTTGATAGAACATTTTGGACTTAATATTTATTCCTTTATAAACGAGAGCAGATCTGCTATAGAAACGAGTGTCGGTTGCTCTCGATTTACCAAATTCAAATTAGAACGAGTGCTAAGAATTCATAATGACGATAGTCGATTCTAATGCGGTAATTATATACAAAAAATGATGCACCTGTTTAATAATGACGTACTGCTTTTCAAGAGCAGCTTTTGTAGCCCTACCATCAGTCCAGGAGGTGAGTACACCAAAATACGAGACTCATTCGTGCACTGACTTGCCTCTGGTGAACATTGTAACTTTTCCAGCGTGCAAATTGACCAACTTCAATTTCGATACTTGTAAAAGTAAGATTCCTTGATTTCAAAGTTGAACTTTAAATATTTCTGGTCTTATCTTTTGATTTCAAAGTTTCAACATAGCTTATAAACAGAAACGAGTCAACGTTGAAGCTTTTAGTTTAGAATTCTCCGACTGGTGAAATATTGGATCTAGCTTTATAATTTATGCAATGAAAATCAAGCTTTATGAGTTTGAACTCGTATCCATTAGCTGTACTACATTTTAATGTTTCAGTGTCAACTTTTAATCATTGAAGTTTCTTAAAAGTACTATAAAGCTTGCTTTTCTATTTGTAGTTTCAGTAATATCTGTTCTGCTCAATGTACCTAAATCGGAAAATGAAAAAACTGGTAATCTTATGACGGGAGCTTCGAATCTGTTAAAAACATAACAAAAGCAGTGGAATATATTATAATCAGTTATTTTTTAAGATCAGTTAATGTCTTGTACTGCGCATTTCACCAAGCTGAAAACAGATTCAAATGATTCCCTGCGCAACTTACGGCAGTTCATGTAAAAATGTTATTGTAGACACAGAACGCACGAATATTGATCTGTGCGCTGACGCTCGTGTCACTTTACTTTGAAGCCTACAATACACAGCTCGGCAACTTCAGCGTGATGAATCGCAATAATTAACACATTTGGGTTTTAGTTTAATGGTTTCCGGCTGTTTTGCATTCACCTCCTGACTTTCATTGAAGAATTTCCTAAGTTCATGCCAAGAACTTCAGGTACAAAATTCACAGAAGTGCAATGCAATGCACCTCTTTTGCATTCGATCATGACGGCACTGATTTTCGGGGTGAATTCAAAGGATATATCCGGAAATTCTATTGTCAAATTTTTCAACATTTTTTAAATTAGATCTTTGAGTCAATTTAATAAAGTCTCCTTTAGGTAAGATGGAGTTGTACAGGAGTAATAAAACAGCTATTCTAAAGATTTCAAATAGAGTTAGTTAAGAAGTTAATATAGTACAGAAATAAATGCTTAATTTTAAACGTTTAACCATCGCAAACTCCATGCTTGATCACGCTATTATTTCGTAGAAAAGGAATATTTTCGCGACGAGACCAAGTCTGATACCGTTGTCTCTGAATGTTGAATAAAAAATCAGTTTAATTGTTGCCCGTGCAATAAAATGCAATATTGAGATTAGAACAACTTGTGGAGAAAATAAATAGTTATACCAAGAAACAGAAAGACAGAAATTAACAACATAAAAAAGGGTTTCACATTTTCTTATCAGAACCTGTACCATTTACCATTTCCACACCAGAGTAACTCGTATCCCACAGCATCATGAGCGACCCAAAAGCATGGCTTCAATTTAGCATCTGTTTCAATTTCAAAAGCATCTGTTTTTAGTAAATTGTTTCTACAGTCGTCAGATCTCATATATTTTGAAGTTTGCTTCACGTATCAATAATCATCTGTTGAAAATCTGTGCGCAATTTTTCATAACACTCCAATTATCTCGAGAAATATGATCACCAGTATAAATATAGTTTTGCTATTATTCAATAGAAGTTTACTAACGGAGAGCAAGTTCTCTTAGAGCAAATGATAGCGCAGATATATCACTCAACAGTTATTAGTTGTGCCATCAGGGAAATCTGTTATATATACCTTTCTGATAATTTAGCTAGTTTAGCAGAGGTGCCAACAAACCATTATACTTTTCACAGATTGTATAAGTTCATTTTTGCAGTATATTTTAAATTGCATATCACCGCACAGGGACTTGCCAAGCCCTACAATGTTGCGCGTGGCTGCCGTGACATTGTCGCTGCTGGCGACGCTGACATCAGCAGAAATTTTGGGAGGGGTGTTCTCTTCCTGCCCGGGCGGCGCTGGTGTCACCGACCCATACGTGATGACCCAACAATTCTGGAACGACTATGTGCGTGGAAACATTTTTCATGTTGTAACATTTTTACAGAGATTTGTGGCCCAAAGGCTCAGGGGACAACTTTTTGTGTATAAAAATCAGAGCCTATATTTTCGGGGAACATAAATTTGGGTAAAACTGGCTAATAACTGTGCTAGCTAAAAATTGTTAAAGTGTAATAAGTTCGACTCGGATGCGTTTATCTTTGCAGACGATATTATACTTATTGAATAGCGAATGACATACCTCTTAACGATGAATGACAACTATACACACCTACGAAAGTTGCAATAATTAAAATAGATACAATAAAGAATTTAATATTATTGTCACATTTCAGGTAGCGAATCCCGTAACTGGGATGAAGCTGATTGCCTACGACGGTACCTCTGAAGACGACAAAATGAGATGTCAGGCATTAAACCTCTCGCCCGACTACAGGAACATCACTCTTGTCCTCGCGGGTAAAGATAAAACGTGAGTGTTGCCCCCAATGTATCTCCCAAAATATGTCAATTAAATAGGCATGATAATTTCAAACAATATTTGGAATACTTATCGTCTGACTATTCCCTGTTGCATCATATAACTTTAAATTTAGTCGAAATTACGAAGCGAATTGATTATGCGGCTCGTTATCAATAATACATTGTGCGTTCGTGTTCTGAAATTTATTTGGCCATTGGACAAATAATATTTTTCGTTCAAGATATCAATTTTCCTGTAGAGCTTATGATATTCAACATGTGAGGTAGTTCCCAACTCAAGTTCCCAAATTATCAGATGATGAGACTAGGGTGACATAAAGAAACTGATTCAGGAACTAAAATTTATGGCAAGATCCCAATTTATCAGATGATGAGACTAGGGTGAGATAAAGAAACTGATTCAGGAACTAAAAACTAGGGCAAGTGTCCAATTTATCAGTTGATGAGACTAGGGTGACACAAAAAAAAACTGATTCAGAAACTAAAAACTATGGTAGGATCCCAATTTATCAGATGATGAGACCAGAATGACATAAAGAAACTGATTCAGGAACTAAAAACTAGGGCAAGATCCCAATTTATTAGATGATGAGACTAGGATGACATAAAGAAACTGATTCAGGAACTAAAAACTAGGGCAAGTTCCCAATTCATCAGCTGATGAGACAAGGATGACATAAAGAAACGTTTCATTTTGTCCGAACAGGGGGGCCGCAGTAGAGTATGGGGGAAAAGGCGCGTCTTCTTCAGTCGACGGCGTCTTTCAGCTGAAAAAATTTACCTCACTCACCCCTTTCCCGTCTTTGGGTTGGTGACGGTTCAGCTAATTGCAGTTTATGCTTAATTCCTTCTTATTGCTACGTCAATGAGATTTTCGCTGAAAGAAATACGAATTTTTGTTTCGAAGATCTGATGATTTTTGTTTCGTCATAACTTTGATGGCTATCATAAATTATGCGATAGCCATCAGTTGTATTAAAAAATCATGTATTAAAAAATCCCTAAAAATAAATTTTCCTATATCGTGTCCTATTTTATGAATTTTATTAACTTCTAATTCCCATTGGATCGTTGGTTTCTGTTTGGCAGTCTTGGGGTCATCGTCGACAGGCTCAACAAGCGTCTACCTCGCGTACGTCTCGCCTACGGAGATCGTCATCAGGACCTGCCGTGGAACGTTTCTAAACACACTCCGTGAGTCTGCCTGGAAACATGCTTTTCGTACAGGACATACACTGGCGATTTTACTATTGATATTCGACAACATTTAGTCCGAGGCTATTTACAGTATGTGCATCAATTAGGAAGAGTGCCGACTACATTTGACCTCGTATAATCAATGTTCTGTGAAATTATGTACGACAGTCATTGGTGACCAAGTACTACAATTCGATTTGTTATCGGCATGAGCGTGCACCGTCATTAGCCTGATAAGAATTCCTAGCAAGATAACACATTTATTGTTTACAGATTCGCTGTACGTGTTCAGCAGTCAGATGGATGACCTCGCAACATTGAACTCAACATGCTTGCTGAACACCGTGAAGTCTCTGCCCAGCAACGGCGGCTTCAAACTCAAGTCAACCAATTGGACCACCTGCGCTTAGTGAGCTGCCAGTTACCGTCACCGCAGCCAATACTGGGCTGGAGATACGGTGCTTTTTCGTTGAACTGTCAACAACAAGTGGCGAAAAGAAATTGTTTTATTTAACCGGTGGTAGAAAAAGGTTAAAACAGGTAAAATTAAAAACTATCCTCATACTATTAAACATTTGTAATTCAATAAATCATTGCGGATTATATTACTTGCAATTGATACCTACTTCCTATGAAATTTTACCGCGCGACATAAGTTTCATTTCTAGAACTAAATTCGAGAAGTGAATGGTTGACATAATTTGAATTATAGGCCGCTTCCAAATTTTCGAACGGACCGATATAAGGCAGTCGCAGTTTCAATTATCCTGCAATTTTATAATTCAGCTTACGGCGCAGTCCGCATCATAGATCAAATTTGATCATTTCAAAGTTTCGGCCGAGTCGCAATAAATAATTATTGTAACGGCTTCGAACTGTTTATGTTTTGATTTTCTTGCTTTCGTTCTTACAGTAAGTCGAAGTAGGCTACCAGCTCATACTATCAGTAGGTTGAAGAAAGCTCACAGTTCATTCTATCAGTATGTCAAAGTAGGCTACCAGCTCATATACTATCAGTAGGCTGAAGAAAGTTCACAGTTCATTATATCAGTATGTCGATGTAGGCTACAAGCTCATACTATCAGTATGTCGAAGAAAGTTCCACGTTTCAGCATGCTATGAGAAAGTAGAACCTACAATATGGAGAAGCTGCGCAGCAAGAAGCTTAAGCTTTAAATTGCATGTCTATTTCAACAAGACTAAATCTATAAGGAGTGACCGATGGCGTCTAGGAAGCACAGTAGAATGAAGGTATAAAATCAAACTGCTTGCGAAATTGATGCGGGATAGGCTAATTTTTAATGAAAACATGAGCACGAGCTGCATCAGTAAATAAAATAATCTTCAAAATTTTCCCTTTCTTCACGAATCATGAGATGGACTCTCTTGCGAGCAGTCGTCTCACAGATGGTTAATCAGATAAACAACACATTAAAGGTGAAATCATCATAATCCGTTGAACCCATTCAATTCGGCCAAAAATCTGATTGTTATGATGAGTCATGATGAGTCATCATAACAATTATGATGAGTCAAAGAAATATGAGTCATATTTAAACATAAGTATAGTGAGGATTATAGCGCTTCATTGAAGTATGCGAATTCAACTTTTTATTCACTCCATTATGTTATTCCAGGAGCGATGTAGAACTGTGCTTAGTATATATATAGGTGAAGAAGAGGACGTTGCCCCCACAGCACTAGCAGTAGTAGTAGTAGTAGTAGCAGCAAGGCGGAAGGTCCCAAGTATTTAAAAATCTCAAATTAATCATCACCCACAAGGGGCGGGAGGTCTCAGATGGCTAGCTCGCTGAAGCTGGCTCGAAAGAAGAGCGTTAGCATCTCAAAGAGACGAAGTGACAAGGAGGGACAGGTGAAAAGCAATCGAAACTAAGACACTCGAACAAAAGGACGCCTACACGGGACGTCGGCCGCGCGTATGAGAGACAGAGCAAGGAAATTTAAAGAATCCTAGCTACATAATAACTTAACCCTACAACCAAGACCCGCAGTCAGACACCGCGAGCTCAGCGGTTGGGCGCTCAGGAACGATCCCCTTAGGAACGCGAAATCCAATAGCACCTCTGACGAGCACAGACACGCGTCAGAAGTCTTCCCCAAGGGGCCCCACAGCACTATGGCGAAATCTACGTACGTATGGAACAGGAAGGTAGAATGTTGCCGAAATACTACTAAAATTCCCGCCTATCACCCTTTACTTTACGGTGAATACTTCCACATTACCACAACATTTTCTAATACTGTATTTACCAGAATCCAAGATCCTCTCACATTGCCAGAGCAAAACAATATTCACCAGCACTAAGCATTCTTACACATAGCCCAAAACCGAACATTCTTCAATATTCAATAGCACTCAACGATCATCATTCTCCAATATTCAACACCGCTCAATATTATCCAACATCATCCATGTTCGAAACATTCTACCTTTTTACCCGTACCAACACTCCTACCTTTATATTGTGGGAGTAACGGTATCAAATATTTTCCACTTACGGCTGAGCAAAACATTATCACACCTTAACCAGTATTGAACCTTCTCTCGTATTCGCCAGCACCAAATATTCACATATACTGTTAAGCACTCTCCCGCAATCAGCTGAATCCGTCCTCAAAATACTCCCAAAATATTTGCAAATAACAGCCTATTGTATCTACATAGCTCAATTCTAGCCATTCGAACATAGCGCAGATTCAATATAGTAGCAAATTCCTATTTCCAGTTATGAAGTACCCAATATGTATGGAGAAATTATTCGCGGTAATGTAACTCTTCCCAATCCAGTGTGCTTAAAATTCTCGAAATACACACGCGCAAAACATCCTCTCACATTAACCATTAACATCCTCTCACATTAAATCAAACATTCTCACATTAGTCTTATATTCACCAGTACCATTTATCTGACATTCATCACTACCAAATTACAATATCCATTCAGCAAGTCCAAAAAATTCTTCCAATTCACCAGTCAGTAAAATCATTCTCCCACTTACAATTTAAACCAAACATTCCATCACTTATACACCAGTGCCAAGCATTTTCACGCAATAATCAGTCCTCAAACCCAAAGTTTTCCAACTTCATTTACAAGCAACAGTCTAGTGTATAGGTATCTACCAGACTCAATTTTAATGAAAGTCTCAATTGTAATCAAATTCAAAACAATTGCTCGATTTTACTTCGAATTGAGTTCACAATAACGGAACCGTGCAACTTAGTTACCTGCAAATATACTCTGTAACCCTGTTGTAACGTGTGTCTTCAGCAGAAAGCTGTCCGCCGACCAGTTGATAAGGTTGCCATGCAGGCGCCCCTACTCAACTTGAGCACGCAACGTCAATTGACTCTACGAATCTAAGCTTTCGGTTCCACAGCCCACCAAACGATCCTAATGTCTAGGTTCGAGAATAAGAAATTGTAACCTCGAGTATAAGAACACGAGCAGCTGGAATAACACTCTAGTAGCCTACTGCCTAGTGCTAAAATTTAACCCAAGTTAAATTTTTCAGCAAAAAATATGCCGGTGAAAATCTTGAAGCTCGACGGTGTGTTCTTGAATGTTGTCATGCCGGGTATTCCAACCGCCAAAGAACTTCTCTTAAGGAGACACTGAACATCAAACACTTAAAGAAGTTGCGTTTCTAAAGATTCCTAAATTAACATGTTCTGCCTTTAGAAACTTAATTCTTTTCTATTTGCTTGCATCGCAATTCACACTAAGGATACACGATATTAGAAGAATGTCTAATTATCATCCCGATTCATCCGCACGAGACAAAAAGCACCAAACTACTGACAGTCCGACAGTGAATGGACCGACACCAGAGCGTCGGGGGTAGTGGGGCACTGGGAGGTAGTGGGTAACCCCACCTTTGAGTAGAGTATTATTGGGGGTTGTTTATCAGTCTTGCCTCGCAAGCGTGGGTTTTATAAGCCTGTTGTAAGCACAAGGCGAGGTAAGTCAATACGAGGTAACAAGAACGCAACATCCCGGAACAAAGTAACACTACTATAAAACATGAAAAACGGTAACGTAATGGGAACATATTCATCAGTGAAGGTCTTACACATAACGAAACTATTTACAGAATACTTACAAAGAGAACAGTAGTTCTAGGTCTTGAACGTACAAGAGCCGAGTCAATGCTAACAATGGTCATTAGTTCTAGAGCGAAGTAACTTACTCGTAGGAACAATAGTACGGAATAGTATGTACATGTGGGCGCTATAACAGTAATTTCATGACAAAGCCAGGCGTCATGTAATTTGCGCGTGTTGCCGCAAAAACAATGCACCCTTGTTGCTGGAACGCAACGCACATATGTATACATAAAAGTACCAAAAGCGTGTTCAAGATAACGCAATGCACGCGTGTTGTTGTACATATCCGCACATCGCAAGCGCGTTAACAGAAAAGTGATGTTAGCGTTAAATTGCGTATTGAAGATAACGCTGTTTACGCATGCGCTGCTGAAAACGCGTGTTGGTGGGCACAGTAGCAATCCTACTGACATAAAAGTAACGCAAGAGTGTTGAAGATAACGCAATGCCCACGTGTTTTTCAATGACATAAAATTAACGCAAGAGTGTTGAAGATAACGCAATGCCCAAGTTTTTTCTATGCACACGCAATGCACGCGCATTGACAGACATGCATTACACGAGTGTTGAATCTCACAACTCTCGCGTGAGCAACACGCACTCACTGCAAGCGTGTTGAAGATAACGTAACGCAAGCATGTTGACGTACACGAAATGCAGCAGTGTTGAAATGCTCGCGTGTTGATAAGTTCGTACCCATGCACAATGCACATGCAGTGTCACAACTAAAGGCAGGGGCTTGTCACGCTTGCGCTAAGAATTCACGCAAGCTACTCAGCAGGGTAAGCCAATGATGGCCTGACCAGCCGCTGATTTCGTGTGTCATTTGGCGTTATATTTTTTACCATGGAACTACCCGAAATACCTTCTATCGGGCGGCTAAATAGGGAAGGCGGCCATTTCACACGTGATTCATCTCTAAGGCGAGAGTGGCAACAAATGCAACCAACAGCTACTTCTGAATTTTGACTGGAGAGGTACCAGAAACATTTTTAAAGCCCGTAGTAACTGTGGTGACATATAGAATTAATGGCTGCATTCTTAAAATGTACAAGCATCCGTTAATCAACGAATAATTATCAAACCTTATAACAAACATCAGGACATAGCAGAATTAAGATCGCTTGACTGCTTAAATCGAGAGTTTATCAAGAATTTAAAAGTAAAGAAAATAGCCAGAAAATTCACCATTTCTTATGAAGGAAAACGTTTCGGAATCTAGCTCCATCGCCAAAATCTGAAACTTTGCATTTCATTAAAAATTTGATGTCTAAAGGCCGACTCTCGATGAAGTATTAGAAATTTGTTCCGTATAATTAAATTCATGTTCAGCGAAGGTAGGTTTCGACCTTTTTTGGATAATTGCAATGCCAAACTGGATTTTCCTTGTGAGACTTGTAAAAGTAATTCGCATATTTTGGCTCTTTGTCCTAAGTTGAAAGTAAATGGCTTGCAGAACCATTGTTGCATTGCATC